CTAGCTAGCTAGTAGCACACTTCGGAAAACAGATAGCCACAGACTACGACATAGATAGATAGATAGATAGATAGATAGATAGATAGATAGATAGATAGATAGATAGATGCGTTTATTTTCTTTTTTTATTATATCTTTTCCATATTTACAAAGATATTTCTATCCGGCCGTTGTTTTTTCTTATAAACATATTTTCTTATTTCTGAGCCGTTCACTGATGTTTCTATTATTTATCTTTCTTCTGATACAAAAACTTATTCTTTCAATTTGATCTCTTCTCTTTCTTTCTCTTATATTTGTTTTTAGCGTTGCCCCTGACCCCACCCCAAAGGAAAAAACACAAAATTCATTGGAGAGAATACCTTTTGCTAATCTATGAGGCAGGCAATAATTTCTGAATAATTTTTATGAAACTATTAAATCTAATTTAATAGTAATTGATCACCATGGATACTTCATACTTCATATCTATTGAGACTAATAAAAAGATGAGAGAATCAGTCGACATTATTATCTTGTATAATGTTTATTATGACAATTTATTCGACTATGCAATAATCATAAGTTTTATAATTTCCATATCTATTGTCGGAAATAATAACACCGGGTTTATAATTTTAAATAATTTCTCTTAAAATAAACATTTGCGTGTAAAATGTCAAGGCCATCTTTCTACTTAGGTTTCATTTAAGTCAATCAAAAAAATCAAAACATTAGTTATATAATCCGGTGTACTTACAGATATTTTTTACAAAATAGTGCTCAATGGAAATTTACAAAGCATTAATATTATAAATTAATTGATTTAAAATATGTTTTTTTTCGCTACACAGTTCTAACCATGTTTCAAATATGGAAGCTAAAAGCTTCGAATTTAATTCTGTAATTAAATTAAAGACATTAGTTCCATTTCATCCTCAAGCGAATTTTGGAGAAATCTATTTTTAAAATTACTGGGTTTTAAAGACACAGCAAAAATCATAATTCACGTTTCCAAGGATACAGAGAAATCCATTCAACCAGACAAGGGGTGTTTGCTTGTTCATTATGTCTGTATTTTGTTGTATCAGTTATTAGTTACATTTTGATAGGGGGTAGGGATGTATTTTTCAATGAAATCTGACATCCGTTAAATGCATGTTGTCTGGATTTTTTTTTAAATTTATTGTTAACGGCAAAAATTCTTACGACATTTTTTTCTATTTGAATACTTAAAGATTTTTGGTGGGGTGTTTAGGTTAGAATACTTTTTATTTAACTACGATTTGAAAAATAAATTCACTTTTAATTTTTAATAGACTATATTTCTTTTTAAAACAAGTAAATGTATTAGAATCACTTACAGTAACTAAAATTATTTTCACATCAAGTATAAGTATGTATATTACTAGGTCACAATTTTTTTTTTAAATTTATATTTAAATATTATTTAAGTAAAATTTTTGACAATGACGGCAAAAATAGCTAATTAATTTCTCTGATTTAGTAAACTTTTATTTTTTTATATATTTTATATAAATCCAGTAATATATAGTTTCTCATCTAAGTACAAAGGACATGGGTCATTCAATGGCTTACATCTTCTAGGTTTTCCTATTAATTTCCTTTTATTGTAGGTGTTTTATTGGATTCTTTTAAGTGCTTGTAGTACTTTGAGAGAGGTGTTTAGGTTAGAATTCGTTTTATTTAACTACAATTTTAAATACAAGTTTAAAATATTTTCACTGTTAATTTTAATAGACTATATTTCTTTTTAAAAATAAGTAAGTGTATTTAATTACAAAATTAAATTAGAAGCTTTTAGCTTCCATTTTTGAAACATGGTTAGAACTGTGTAGCGAGAAAAAACATATTTTAAATCAATTAATTTTATATATATATATATATATATATATATATATATATAATATTATAATTAATTGATTTAAAATATGGTTTTCTCCGCTACACAGTTTTAACCATGTTTCAAAAAATGAAATCTGAAATCTCCGAATTTAATTTTATAATTAAAAACCCAGTAATTTTAAATGTTACTCCAAAATTCGCTTGAGGATGAGATGGAACTAATGTCTTTAATTTAATTACAAAATTAAATTCGGAGCTTTCAGATTCCATTTTTGAAACATGGTTAGAACTGTGTAGCGGAAAAAACATATTTTAAATCAATTAATTTATTGTATTAATGCTCTGGAAATTTACATTGAGCATTATTTTGTAAAAATAAAAATATCTATAAGAACACCGGATTATATATCTTACTGTTCTTTCTTTATATAGGCCCCTCCATATATATATACTTACACATATATATATTTACACATATATATATAGGCCCCTCCAGAAAAAAAAAATTCGCATACCGTGATCAAAACATGTATAGTTTTATTGCCCAAATCATTATGTTATTATTAAGAGGAAGAACCGAAGCAGTCTTTGATTATTCAATTATTTTTTTTTTACTTTTTTGCAGAACATTCGAAATTTTGATTAAAAAACTTGTTTTTTTTGCGTCAGCGGATGTACAAACTTTTAGCCTCTTTTTTTTGCGGTGACAGACATATTAATTTGAAAATTCTAGCAAAAATCAAATAATTCTTGGATTGTAATGAAAAGTTCAAGATTTATTCGAAAATAAATGAAATTATTTTTGAAAGTTTTTTATTAGAAAATCTTCGTAAAAATATTTTTTACATGTGTTTCTCCCCCTTATTTAATTTTATGTAAACTTGAGAAATTCATCGAGATCATCTTCAGTGACTATATTAGTTAAAATTAGAATTCTTGGAATTTTTTTTTTTTCAAGTCGGACCTGGTCTTAATTTAAATCTGTTCTAAATCGAAAAATAAAAAATGCAATAAAACTAAGACATTATTTAATTAGAGAATCTTTTAATTGCGTTTATAAATAATATATATTAAAGACAATATTGTCCAAAGAAAAAAAAATTCGACGAAAAATAATTTTTACAAAATTTGGTTTCATATTTTTACAATTTTAAATTGAATAAATTATAAAGTTTTTAAATCTTTTAAAATTCTTTTTTAACCGTACAATTCTTAGGAAATATTGTTATTAAGTATTTACTAATCACATGTTGTAAAGCTTGTAATACAATCTGACGAGCCCGAATATTTTAAAAAGAATTTCGATTTGTTTTTGTATTTCGTGCAGAATTTCTGAAGTATGGATGTACAAACCGATAAATCTAGCATTTAAAGGTCACGTGTTTTAAGGGTTGTCCCCCCTTACGGCAAAAAACTTTAACGTTTGCTTCATCATACTTAATTATGAACGCGTTCGGCTGTCAATCGAATGTAAATAAATCGTTTTACGCCGTAGAAAAACAAGACTCCTTAGTTAAGAAATGTTTTTACGATATAAGTAAGTTATATTTGTTTCAAAACAGTTTAATTGAACTTTAAATTTGCTAATTTTTCTCAAATAACGTTTCAGAAATATACATTTTATTTTTGCAAGATTTTTAAAAACCGAGCAATAACTTAGTTTACAAAGGTGTCAAAAATGAATGTTTTGAACGATTTAAATGAAACTAAAATCGATTCCGATCAATATAATTTCTGTTTGAAATACACCTCAGAGTATTTTGCTTACTTGAAATAGTAAATCTTAAATCTTTTGTCTTTCAATTAAAGACAAAATGAAAGCTTTTTCATCTTTTTTTAAAATCATTTTGAACTTTATGTAGGTAACTATTAATAAGTATACATAATACAGTATGACACCGAGTTTCATCCTTTATGAAATCATCAGGAACTAATTTGAATTTACACCGTTTGGATCTCGTGAGATATGTTGTTGTTTGGATGAATTTTTACTGTTGTGAAATATTTAATTGTACTTTAATCTAATCTCGAATTTGAATGTAGCCTCAAACTTACGTTTATAATTGAAAATGAGAATTAGAAATTCTAATTTTCAATGAATTCTAATATGCCACTAATTCTCTCGTTTCGTCCTTCTAAAGATTCTTAAAGACTAAATAATGTTTTTATCGATGGAACCAGGCATAACAAATACAAACATTGGTTACAATTCTACACCGAGAAAATATGAGGATGCTTATCTATGTATCTTAATGCATAACCATGCTGACTCCATTCAGCAATATACAATATACCACTAATATATATATATATATATATATATATATATATATATGAAAAAATATAGTCTTAAGATGTACTATATTTATGGGATAAAGTGCTCAATATCAGAGATAGAGCATGTGTAAATATAGAAGTGAACATAGAAGTCAACACTTAGAGGCGACAGTCTGTTTCATGCTAGATGCAATCGTCAGGCCTGACGAATGCATCTAGTATGAAACAGACTGTCGCTTCTAAGTGTTGACTTTATGTTCACTTTTATATAAATATATATATATATATATATATATATATATATATATATATATATATATATATATATATTATGTGTGTGTGTGTGTGTGTGTGTATGTATATATATGAATGTCTTTTATTAATCCGAACATATTTTTCATCAATTTAAACATATAAATTTTATATATATGGAAAGAGAGAATGAGAGATCAAAGTATGCTCCTCCTTATTTAAAAATAACACACTTAAATATTTGTATACGCCTCTTTAGGGATATATGCATTTATGTACATTCACTCTAACGTTTAGTTTTTTTTTAATTACTTTAATTAATTTTTTATTGTCATAATTGTAACTTATATCTGATTGTAGCAATTTGCATTCAAGACATATTTCGGCTCATTTCTAATGTAAGAAAATTTTTGAAAAATTCAGTGTCAATCGGAGTTTGCACGAGTAATAGAAAACTTCTGATTCTTTCAAATTCTTTATTATTCTACAACTCAACCATATAAAATTATACAAAACCATTTTGTCATGCCATTTCTAAATCTGTCTTTATGTATGCGTTTGCTCATTTCATTCAATGTCCCTTATAAATATCTTTTGAACGAAGCACAGTGATTCAATTGACATTTTTTATCACTTAAGACTCGTCTCCAAGGTTTCTTTCCTTATTAAATCCCCGAGACTTTTCAATTGTCTCTTTCTGATGTAAAGTATAAGTGTCATTTTGTTTCTATTTTCTTTAAAGCTTCGTTCGTTGTTGCTCACATATTCGGTCGATAGTATTCACAATTCAATGAAATCAAATTTTCTTGGACTGAAAACGTTTTCCAAATTTCAGTTCTTTATCTTGTTTAGCCCTGCGTCTAATTTGTTAGTGAAATGTTTAAAAGATATAGTTATATCTATAATTATAACTTTTAAACATATTTTTATACATTATCTTTTGTGATTATTGATATTTATTAAAATTGTAACTTGATTATTAAGACATTACATAGAAATTATTTATAAATTATTTAGTATTTGCGGAGTTAGAAGATAAAATATTTTGTGATGTCGTTTAGGAAATTTCTGCGCATCAGTTATAAACGGAATTAAAATAAAAAACTTCGATAAAGGCTTCAGATCTTGTGATTCATCCAATTTTTCGACACTAAGAGACATTTCTAAGACTTATCGTCAACTTTTTAACCTGTGCTGTGCAAAGGCTTCCAGTTTGATCTCAAGGCATGGGTAGAACTGATTTTGCGAAAGAGAGTGATGGAAAAAGTGTATATAAATATAGAAGATAGAAAGAAGATAAAACAAGTGGTGGATTGATTCCACTGGGAAACATGAACACTAAAAATAGCGATCCAAGTTAATAATGAATTTATATGTAAGTGCTGCGAATGGGTTCTGGTGTTGGGTTCAGTGAAGGTATGGAAAATAAGTAAATCGATAATGGAAGATAGAGTCAAGAAGTAATGATAAGATGTGGAAAGAGAAATGAAAAGCTCAAAATCCAAGAAGAACGACTACGGATGGATAAAAGAATAATAATCAAAAGATGAAGCAAACATAAATAAAATAATAATAATGAAATAGTGTGAAAAAACAAAGAAAATAAAAAGAACAAAAGAAAATGAAAATGAAAAAGGAATTAAATAAATGACTATAAAAGGAAAGAATTTAAAGAGCAGACAAGGAAGAAATATAATGAACGTCATGTAAAGTGATTTATACAACAAACGAAATGAGAAAACAAAAATAAAATTAAGGGCTAATAGGAAAGGAAACAACAAAAGAAAAACAAGCAAGCGAGCAACGAAAGAAAAGCAAGAAAAACAGGTAAGCGAGCAAAGAAAGAGAAGCAAACAAATAATTAAGCGCGCAACGAAAGAAAAGCAAACAAACAAGTAAGCAAGCAATGAAGGCAAAGCAAGCAAACAAGTAAGCAAATAAGCAAGAGAGCAACGAAAGAAAAGCAAGCAAATAAACAAACAAGCATCGACAGAAAGTAAGAAAGCGAGCAAGGAAAGAAAGGCAATCAAACAAGCAAGCTAGCGACGAAAGAAAATCAAGCAAACAAGCAAGCAAACAAGCAAATGACGAAATAAAAGACAAGCAACGAAAGAAAGACAAGCAACGAAAGAAAAGCGATCAAATAAACAAGCAAGAGAGCAACGATAGAAAAGCAAGCAAACAATTAAGCGAGCAACGAAAGAAAAACAAGCAAATAAGCAAGTGAGCAATGAAAGAAAAACAAGCAAATAAGCAAGCGAGCAACGAAAGAAAAGCAAACAATCGAGCAAAGAAAAAAAAGCAAGCCCACAGGAAAGACACAGAGAAACGAAAGAAATCAAGCAAACAATTAAGCGAGCAACGAAAGAAAAGCAAGCAACTAAACAAGCAATTGAGCCAGCGAAAAAAGAAACACAAGGCAAGTGACGAAAGAAAAGCAATGACAGAAAAAAGGCACGCAAGCGGGCGACGAAAGAAAATCAAGCAAGAGACGAAAGAAAGGCAAGGAAGCAAATGACAAAAAGAAAGCAATCTAGCAACGAAAGGAAAGCTAGAAAACGAAGCAAGCGACAAAAGAAAACCAAGTAAACAAGAAAGCAAGCGACGAAAGAAAGAAAGCGAGCGTCGAAAGAAAAGCAAGCAAACAAACAAGCAAGTGGGCGACGAAAGAAAGGCAAGCAAATAAACAAGCAAGCGAAGAAAGAAAAGCAAGCTCGCGAGTGACAAAAGAAAGGCAAGCAATCGAGTGACGAAAGTAAAGCAAGCAAACAAGCAAACCAGTGCCGAAAGAAAGGCAAGCAAGCAAACGACGAAATAAAAGTAAACTGTCGAAAGAAAGTCAATCAAATAAACAAGCAAGAGAGCAACGAAAGAAAAGCAAACAAACGAACAAGCGAGTAAAGAAAGAAAAGCAAGCAATCAAGCAGGCAAAACAAGCAAGCGACAAAAAAAAAACAAGCCACAAAAGAAAAACAAGCAATCAAGCAGGCAAAACAAGCAAGCGACTTAAGAAAAGCAAGCAATCAAGCAGGCAAAACAAGCAAGCGACAAAAGAAAAGCAAGCAATCAAGCAGGTAAAACAAGCAAGCGACTAAAGAAAAGCAAGCAATCAAGCAGCCAAAACAAGCAAGCGACAAAAGAAAAGCAAGCAATCAAGCAGGCAAAACAAGCAAGTCACAAAAGAAAAGCAAGCAATCAAGCAGGCAAAACAAGCAAGGACAAAAGAAAAGCAAGCCACAAAAGAAAAACAAGCAATCAAGCAGGCAAAACAAGCAAGCGACAAAAAAAACAAGCCACAAAAAAAAAACAAGCAATCAAGCAGGCAAAACAAGCAAGCGACTGAAGAAAAGCAAGCCACAAAAGAAAAACAAGCAATCAAGCAGGCAAAACAAGCAAGCGACAAAAAAAACAAGCCACAAAAGAAAAACAAGCAATCAAGCAGGCAAAACAAGCAAGCGACTGAAGAAAAGCAAGCCACAAAAGAAAAACAAGCAATCAAGCAGGCAAAACAAGCAAGCGAGAAAAGAAAAGCAAGCAATCAAGCAGGCAAAACAAGCAAGCAACTAAAGAAAAGCAAGCAATCAAGCAGGCAAAACAAGCAAGTGACAAAAGAAAAGCAAGCAATCAAGCAGGCAAAACAAGCCAGCGACAAAAGAAAAGCAAGCAATCAAGCAGGCAAAACAGGCAAGTGACAAAAGAAAAGCAAGCAATCAAGCAGGCAAAACAAGGAAGCGACTAAAGAAAAGCAGGCAAATGACGAAAGAAAAGCAATGACGGAAAAAACGGGGGACGAAAGAAAAGCAAGCCATCGAGCGACGAAAGAAAAGCAAGTAAAGGAGCAAGCAAGCAACAAAAGAAAAGAAAGTACGCGGGCGACTAAAGAAAAGAAAGTAAACAAGAAAGCAAGCGACGAAAGAAAAGCAAAGAAGCAAGGAAGCGAGCGACGAAAGAAAAGCAAGCACGCAAGTGACGAAAGAAAGACAAACAAGCAATCGACAAAAGAAATGAAAGCAATCGAGCGACGAAAGGAAAGCCAGAAAGCGATTGACGAAAGTAAAGCAATCAAACAATCAAGCCAGTGACGAAAGAAAGGCAAGGAAGCGAGCAACGAAAGAACATCGAGGAAGCAAGTAATGAAAAAAAGGCAAGCAAGCGAGCAACGAAAGAAAAGCAAGCAAACAACCAAGCGAGCGACTAAAAAAAAACAAGCAAGCAAGCGACCGACGAAAGAGAACAAGCAAACAAGAAAGCGAACGACGAAAGAAATGCAAGCAAACAAGCAGGCGACAGACGAATGACAACAAGCAAGCGAGCCACGTACAAAAAGCAAGCAAACAAACAAGCGATTGTCGAAGGAAAACAAGAGAGAGACGAAAGAAACGCAAGCAAACAAGCAAGCGAGCAAGGTAAACAAGCCAGTGACGAAACAAAACCACTCAAACAAGCAAGCAAGCGACGAAAGAAAATCCAGCAAGAAAGCGATGAAAGAAAAGCAAGCGAGCGACGAAGGAGAACCAAGCAAATAAACAAGCAAGCAACAAAGGAAAACCAAGCAAACAAGCAAGCAAGCAACGATTGAACGGCAAGTAAGCAAGCGACGAAAGAAAAGCAATCAAGCAACGAATAAAAAGCAAGCAAGCGAACGGTGAAAGAAAAGCGAGCAAGCAAGCGACAAAGTAAAAGCGAGCAAGCAACGACAAAATGCAAGCAAACAGGCGACGAATAGAAACCAAGGAAGCGACGAATAGAAAGGCAAACAAGCGACAAAAGAAAGGCAAACAACCCAACAAGCAAACGACGAAAGAAAAGCAGCAAAGAAGCTATGAAAGAAGCAAGCAAGTAAAGAAAAAGAAAAAGAGAAAGAAGCGATAAATAAGAGAAATAAATAAGCTAGCAAGAAGAATAGAGAATGAAAATGGCTGGATAAAACAACAGAACGAAAAAGAGAAAGAAGTAAACAATGAACGCAAACAAACTGAGAAATAAAGGAAACAATCAGAGAAAAACAAAGTGGAATAATGAAAATGAGAGATTGTAAGAGAGAGAGGGAAAGCTTTAGATCGAAAGAAAGAAAGAAAGAAAGAAAGAAAGAAAGAAAGAAAGAAAAGAAAAATCGAATGAAAGAAGAAAAAACAAAACGAAATATAATTGGAAGTAAATCTGACAAACGAATCGAAAAAAAAAACAAGATAGCTTTAAGTGAAAAGAATAACAAACTGTTGAAAAGAGACGAGGAAGTACGACAAGTAGATGCAAATCGACGAAGAGGAGGTTGCGTTGGCCAAGTGTGAGGTCAGAGATAACGACAGCAAGTAGATTCTTGTCAATATCAAATAATCAATAACCTGTCAACTCTGGACGCTTTGAGGTCAGACAGCTACTCATCAACCCCCCCCCCATTTCCTCTATTAACAATCTCACATTAGTTCCCTTGCTCCGGTCACTTCACCCAACTCAATTGACGCCCACGTAGGCTAACCAAATTTTATTTTTATTTCTTCAGTGAAGGACTCGTTCTTTAGAGTAGGCCTGTGCGGAGAAATTAAGGTAAGAAAATACAAAGGAAGGATTAAGGTAATCGAAGCGCGTGAAAACAAAAAAAAAAAAAAAAGAAAGGAAGAAAAAAGAAATGAAGAGAAAAAAGAAAGGTGGATTAAGAAGAAATAAAGAAACCAGGAAGGAAAAGGAAGAAAGAAAGCAGGAAGAAGAAAAAGAAAGAAGAAAGAAGAAGAAAAAGAAAGGAGAAAGAAGAAGAAGAAAGAGGAAAGGACAAAAAATGGAAGAAGACAAAAAAGAAAGGAGGAAGAAGACAAAAAAGAAGGAATATGATAAAAAACAGAGGAGGAGGAGGACAAAAAGAATGGAGGATAAAGAAAGAAAAGTGAAGAAAAAAGAGGGGAAGAAAAAGAGGGGAGAAAAAAGAAAGGAGGAAAAGAGAGAAGGAAAGAAAAAAGAGAGAATATATCGATAAAACTAAGTGAAAAGAAGAGAAGACATTTGTATAGAAATGCAAAAGGAAAATTAACGTCAAGAATGAGTAAAGACAGAAAAAAATGGAAACAAAAAATCAACAATTAAGTAAAGAAAATAGAACAAAGAAAAAGTGGCTTAAAACTAAAAAAAAGAAAGGATAAATGAAAGTAAATATAAGTAAAACATTAAGGGTCATCAATGCTGTTTATTGAATATAGAGACCTCTACTGATTTTAGACATATATTTGGTTATTTAAGGCATGCTGTTTTACACATTTCTGATGGGAGTTTTTTTTTGCCTTGTGTGATTGTTGAAGAGTTTCATCAATCCAGAATTTGAATGAAATATCATAGACAATTATTACTCTATTCTAAACATAAGTTTTAACTACACTTTTGAATTCATCAATATTAATCGACAGACTGTACATCCCAACAAAAAAAAGTCCCTCCATAATATAATAAAGGTATAAATGTTGGTGTAGCCCAAGAAAAACATGCGCATATATTTAGAGAGACATTTCAGCTAAATTCGAAATATTTCTTCTTCTAAAGTCTTATTCTTCATCATTGAATGTTAAAACTAAATTGCCAATCGTCAATCAATAATGTTAGACTTATTACTTTCATAATAGAAGTGCTATTAATCAACTGATGTTGGTCAAATCTTAAAGATCTACGATGACGGGTTGAAAAGTACACAGGCTGAAGGAGTGACGCTACAGCTGTGAAATCATGTATGCATTAATTTCAAATCTTATTAATACCGGTATTGTTTCTTTCCAGGTAAAGAAACATCTGACTGTTCTAAGAAAATTTCAAAAGTAACTTGTAGCGACTTTGCCTGGAGAAAAAGGAGTTTAACCTTTAACTTCATGCATGCTGACATGGTTGCTATATTAGAGGATCATCGCAGTGATGATGACGTCATATCCGCTGTTGATGGCTGTAGAACAACAAAATGAAAGCTTCTTCACCAATGGTAACAATTACTGCAGCATCGACGGAAGAATTGTGTGAATCGCAAGGTGGTGGGGGACTATGTTGAAAAATAAATTCATTGGGTCATATTCCATGACTATCAAGTCAGGGATCAGGCTAGGAACTTTTTAGCCAAACCTCGAACTTACGTTGACATGAACAATATTCCGTGAGTTTCAGCTGATAAAAACTATGCTTATTAGAAATATTAATAAAAACTTCTTTAGAATTGTCAGTATTTTCATGCAAACTGCAACATAACATTTTATTTAGTAATAAATGCAAAATATGTCACAAAAAAAAACATACATGCTTATTGCAATAACCCTGATATTTGAGTAAATTATTATTTTTTTTAATATGGAATCACTGAGATTCTATAACTTTGAGCGCTCTTTCAGCCATTGATTTTAATGTTTCTTCGATTACAAATCTTTGCTTGAATGTGGTTTCCATTTCTAGTAATAATGGACAAGACTAGATTTAAATCTAGAGGTTGGCGACCATTCCATTAATTTGATGTCTGTGAAAATTTATGTGACAAGGTGGACAATAGTAGTCGTTGCCTTAACTGTACATTGGTTCGCGTGATATACTCTTTGGCTTAAAGCATTTTCCTCAACCTTTTTAAGCAACAGCAGGCCTAGGAGCGAATGAAAATATCCCTGCACATTTAGCAAAATTTTTAAAGAGTATAAAATTAAGAAATAAAACCACAGATTTAAAAAAAAAAGAATACACACAAATATGTAAAACATTACTATGAAAAAATAATTTCAGTACAATTAATGTCATTTTGACTTTACACATTTCCTTTAAAACATTGGAAAATTATTAAATCAAATGCTCAAAGCTGTATATTGGAAACTTCAACAACATTAATTCATCATTCAATATAACTTTGTAAAAAGTTTGAATTAAATAAAGAATGTTCAATACAATTATATGAAAAAAGGTTAATATTCATTTATACAAATAAAGGAAAATATTAAAAAGTTAAAATTAAATTAAAAAATAAAAATACTTTTTAAAAAATGAATATTAAAAGAAAGTATTTAAAGTAATATAATCGAATAGTGAAATAAATTAATTGAAAAAAGTTTAATACTTATTCATTTATTCAAATACTAACGCTGTAACATTATTACTTACACAAAATATATATATATATATATATATATATATATATATATATATATACATATATATATATATGTGTGTGTGTGTGTGTGTGCTGTGACACGGAGGTTGAGAAGCATTGGCTTAAATCTTGTTAGTGACTTTTGCAACACAAACACGCCATATGGTGATTCCTTGCATTTATCTTGACATCTTCATCAATATTAAAGTGATCTTTAATTTTGCTTCTTAAAATAAGAGCTGACCATTATTTCTGTTCCTCTCCCTAGTCTTCTACGTCATGCTGTCTGATTATTTCCAAGACCGACCGACCAACCAACCCACCATTCGATCAGGTTTTATTTTGTTTGATAGCATATCGACCCCAATGGATTATTTAATGCCAACAAGATTTTTAGGATAGGTTCATAGTTCGTATATGAATTCGTAGTAAGAAATCAGTTTGTATGAAATCAGGTTTCATTGACATATTTTTATAAAGAGGGTTTTTGTCGACAGTTTGGTTTCATTGATGTATTCTTTTCAAATAGAATTCTTTGTAAAGAATTTGGTTTTATTGACATTATTTGGCTTATATTTTAGGAAATAATATCTCATACATTTTTACTTCCATGCATATTGAAAGAGACATGCATATTGAAAGAGACGTGCATATTGAAAGAGACATGCATATTGAAATAGACGTGCATATTGAAAGAGACGTGCATATTGAAAGAGACGTGCCTGTGTAGCTAATAAGTATTTCAATGATTCGTTTTCTATCAACCATTTGTAAATTATTTAAAGCCAGAAAATATTTTTTGATTGTAAAATAATTTTTAGATAATAATGGTTTAATGATACAAGTATTACTAATTAACCCATATCTGGGGGGAAGATGTGGATTTATACCTTTCCCAAAGATATTTGCACTTAAATGACTATGACGAATCCAGGGTGAATTGGAATTCGGCACTTCGATTAACAATTCTGAGCACCACCTGCACATCCAAATTTACAGCCCCTAGTATTCCCAAGCAGTCACCCATCTAAGTACTGACTAAGCTTGACCTGGTTTAACTTCGTTGATCGTACGAGAACCGATGTTTCAATGTGATATAACCATCAGCCTATTCGATCGAATGGTTTACGGTTATATCACGGGTGATTTGATATAGTTCCTCCTTCATCATGTTCTGGCTAAAAATCAGTTTCATGTGCTTCTTTGTCTAACATTTTGATGCTTACTTAAAAATCATAGTATATTCATTTCTATATATTTGCCAAATATCTCAAATATTCTACAGCTTTTCTTCCTCAGTTTGTTCAAATATTTTATTTCTGGTCAATATTTTATTTCTTGTTTATTAGCTTCATATTTCCCCTGCCCTAATATATTTTTTATATTTTTCAAACAATTTATGTCGTTCGGATGTTGGCAATATTTTCAATTACGTTTTTGATTTTTCACTGATCTTTGTTCAACTTTTATGCAACTACCAGTATTGTATTCCAATCAGTGACTATCTTGCTTCTCTTCTGAGGTTCTATCTTCCTTATGATCTATAGCAATTTTTATATACGCTTTACTCTTATATGTAAATTGAAAATGTAGATCAAATCCGGCAAAATGATTAAATAAGTAACAGGTAGAAAAATTTTTTATGAATTTGACTATGTTTCGCTGTTGAACTTCATCAGAAGTTTTTCGTAACTAGAATTCTTTGCAACAGGTTAACGGGTGTTGAAATCCTCACAGTATTTAGAATCGCTAACATTTTTTGTCGAGTTCTACAAACTCTACTTTTCGTTCAATTTCGCATACCAATCGATGAAATTTTAAATAAGCTGATTTGTTTGGTAAAATTCTTTGACGAAAACCCTACTTCGCAGTTTTTACGCATGCTAGTAAAAGCAACTGCACTTTGTCCCCTCCCCACTTACCTGTTTGCACTTCTCTGTAAAATTTGGTTTTGATCGGTCAATGTATGAGTATTTTAGAAGGTGTGACAGACGGACAAACGGACGGACAGACTAAAGATAATCACAGAATTTGATAGATAGATAGATAGATAGATAGATAGATAGATAGATAGATAGATAGATAGATAGATAGATAGATAGATAGATAGATAGATAGATAGATAGATAGAAAATGAACAGACCTGGCTAGATAGATAGATAGATAGATAGATAGATAGATAGATAGATAGATAGAAAATGAACAGACCTGGCTAGATAGATAGATAGATAGATAGATAGATAGATAGATAGATAGATAGATAGATAGATAGATAGAAAATGAACAGACCTGGCTAGATAGATAGATAGATAGATAGATAGATAGATAGATAGATAGATAGATAGATAGGGAAGAGTGGAGAGATTTTCTTATTTTGAAATCTATTTTGCTTTCATTCGTAGTTTAGATGACACTTGTTTTGTATGCATTTGTATGAGTTTAATTCTAGGAGGCAATTTTTTGTTTATCTCGTTGTGTCTGTGTGCCTAATTCTGGAAATGGCAGTCTAAGGAAATAGATATTATATTTATTGATTGTATCTAAATAAATAAACGGCAAAATCTCATGGTCCGTCCGTATGTCTAAAACCCCTCTCGGACCACTTGCTCTCCCTAGACATATAACTTTTTGAATCCTGGGATTGAGAATTTGTGTCTGGGTGAGAAGGTAAAGTTAAAAATTAAAATTTTTAAATAACTGTAAAAATTAGTGATTTTAAAAGATTTAATTTATATTTTGTTTAAAGTAACACAATTTTTTTATGAATTTAAACTTTTTGTTTTAAATTAAGTTTAAAATATCTTCAAAACATTATGAATTGAGGAAATCGATCTTATTTCTTCAAAATGCCAAGGAATCAGAGTTAAACTTAGAGCTTTCGTGACGTGACGTTTTGAAATTCTCTGGCGTTTGTGATTTGAAGAACTTCGTTTTTGGCCTGAATTGAACTTTCGACCTAAATCAGATTTATAGACCGAATTAGAGTTAAAGTGAGATTTTGAATTTCCATGCAGTAAATTGAAAGTTATTTCTCCAAAATTATCATTGCTGTTTTCTAAGTTGGACCAGAGGGCCCTTTAGTTTTGGGCCAAAGGTTAAATTAACCCCCCCAATTAGCTAGCTTAAAAGTCCACACGGTAGTCTGCGGTAGACCAGAACCCGGCCCGTCCTGCTATTTACCCATAGCTGGGGTGAGAAGAAGAGTGTTACCTTTCCCAAGCGTATTAGCACGTAAGTGAATATAATGGATTCGATTGGAATTCGAACTCTGCTCTCTGAAACGCTTTCCATTATTCCACCGTGCCTCCCTGTTGTTTTAAGAATATGTTACCCATTCATCTTCTTATATTAGTATGTGTATATGCATATAAATTAAAATTCCAGTGGATGTTTTGTGACTACTTTCTAACTCCAGTGCGTGTTTAAGTGTGTATTAAAAATCTATTTAAAGAATTCTAATTACCAAAAATCTATTTAAAAATCTATTAAAAATCTTTGACAGTTAAAAACAGAAAAGAATTCAAAAAATATTTCTACTTTTCCTTATTTAATCACTATAATATATATTTACTTATAATCTAATGAACAACCCTTACGTTGCATGATAAAATCTTACGCCAACAAATTTGTAATAGTACTAATAAAAATATAAGCTCAATTCACATGTTATAAACATCATATCAAAAAATAAGTATACTTTGAAAAGCTTACTAACATTTATAAAGTTCATAACGAATTTACTGTGAAAATAAAGTTGACTTAATAATAATATCTAACAGGGTAAAAATGATTTAAAAATTTTGTTTTTCGTGATTTCTTTGCGGCTGGATGCTGATCGAATTTACAAACACAAAAAATTGCAAAAAGAAAAACGTTGAAGTCTTTAGATCTAAAGTTGCCACCAGGCCAAAATATCTGTGTGAATTCTCAAAGTCGTTTTTACTACTAGAAATAGTTTCACAGTTCATTATTAAAAATATCGTTCAGTAGCGATTGCTTGATTTTTAGATATTAATTTAATGCTTCCAAGAGTGGAGGATAAATTCTAACATTTGGAACTTTAATTTCACATTAGGCAAAGTTTCATGAATTCATTCTAATTTTTAAATAATGACAATAGTTTAGTAAAACAAAAGGAAATAAATATAGATCGTAATAGAAAGTTTCAATGGTCCATGTTCTTTTGTTTACTGTTTTTGTTGGTTTAACTAATGAAAGCGTCTCTGTTTATAATCCAAGACAGAAATGCCGTAGGCTGTGCATTCATTCAATCTTTTCTGAAGACAGTATATTTAATATCATTTTTCAATCGTCACTAGAGATTCCATGATTTTGAATCATTTGAGTGGATCTCAATATTCTATGCACATTTTATTCTTTCTATTTGTTGGCAGCCACCGACGTATGGATGTTTTCAAGGTTTTAAAAAGCATTCGGAAATATGAAACATTGAAAAGCAAAGTTTGTTTTTTTTTAAATTAAATTGAATGAAATAACATTTACCGAATTGAGAATCTATGGGGAATTCTAGGCGTCATTTTTAGTCGGGAAATAAAATGAAATGAGAAAAATGTCCAAGGGAATACAAGACAGAAAATCAATTGATATTTGTAATATAACCAAACAACCTTTGACCCAACAAAGTACAGACTTATTGACATTAATATAACACAAATTGCTTAATAACTGAACGAATTACTTGGGGATTAGTTTCAATATGTTCAATATTAATCAAGTGATGTTTTACTAGAGCGTTATATTCTTTACTAAAAAGGCATGTCCCAGAAAATTTATTTGCACGACCTTTCAGTTTTTATCATGTCTATCTGATAATAGAATGAAATATGTTACGCAGATATTAAGCTGGGTTTTTAGATTTTAACAAACTCAGCTACATGCAAAGAAGAACGAAATGCATATATATATATATATATATATATATATATATATATATATATATATATATATATATAGTTGTATGGATATGAGTTTATGACCCTGAGTTGCACGCTTTTGCTACCATCAGACACTTGTGCGTGAAAAGCGTGAAACCCAGTGTAACAAACTGATATCCATACAACTGAATATGTTAGCTCTATCACTGATAGTGAGCACTTTGCAATAAGTACAGCGCATATAAAATAATAATATATACAGAATATATATATATATATATATATATATATATATATATATTATAAATTAATTGATTTAAAATATGGTTATTCCGCTACACTGCTGATAATATTAATGCTCTGTAAATTTACATTGAGCACTATTTTGTAAAAATAAAAATATCTATAAGAACACCGGATTATATATCTTACTGTTATATATATATATATATATATATATATATATATATATATATATATATATATATATATATATATATAAAGCGGTTGTTGGTCAGGGTTGAATCAGACCTCGCGACGGTTATATTAAAAAGTTCTCGATACACAATCCAAAATACCAAACGGACAGAGCATATAAATATTAAAAAATAGGAAAATCAAACACTTACCCTACCATAGTTTCAAACATTGAGGGCTCGTCGGCTGATGTTAATTTCATAACGTTTTATTTGCTTTTTTATGTGCGGACAACAGGAAGTGAGAGAGGAGCGAAGGGTTGAGGAAAGAGTAGGAAAATAGGATGGGATGGGGAGTGAAAAAATATTATACATATTTTCATCCAGATTCGTATAAACCCAAAATATACTTTTTAGTGTATCCACAACCCGACATGACTTCAGGCCTCTCATTTAACAGCTTTTTTTTGTCTGGATACATTATTATTGCTATTTTTTCTTCCTGGCCCTGCCTGTCCTTAATGTCTGACTCTCCTCAATATGCACCAGCATTTGGTCTTTTAGTCGGAATGCATACGTTTCAACCACACGACGACTCTCTCTCTCTCTCTCTCTCTTTCATCTCCATCTCTCGTCTCCTCTCTCTCTCTCTCTCTCTGTATATATATATATATATATATATATATATATATATATATTGTGTGTATGGTTGCATGCAGAGTTGTTTGTGACCTTAGGTTTCACGCTTTTGCGATCTTCAGAAAAACTGGTTTATTTTTTCAAAAGTGGAACTACTTATGCTTTATTTGTGTTTGATTATTTGTGTGTTGTGGGAGGGGGAAAATTTTCTTGTGTTTGTTTGGGATGACACTAACATATACATAGATACACATACATACAGGCGTGTACATGTTATTCATACATATACACTCATATGCTGTTATCACTATTATTACTATTGTTTCCATCATTTATAGGGATAATTTTACCGTTCATCATAACTAATACCATATCAATTATTATTAATATGTCAATAAAAATATCACAGCTAATATTACCATTAACATAATTACATCCGTCAATAACACAGCTGCAGTTGTTGTTAAAAATACAACTACCGTGGCCATGTCTAGAGACAGAACCCAACTTAACCCAGGTGCTGATAATAGACCGAAATCAATGAGTGCGGATGTGCCTCTGCATATGTGTGTATGGGTGAGTGCATGTGAGCATGTCTGCCGGCGTAAAAAACGAAGCTGAAAAACGTCAAAGCGGTGCCCCCCCACCTGTCTCCAACTAAGAGAACATTACTACATATGAAACACTACAATCTTGACACCGAAATAGAATGAAAATTGCGTACATACATGTGCTTGAACGTATCAATGTGTAACTGCGCTTAACCCAAGATTATGAATATGGATGTGTATGTATGAACTAACATGTATACACCGGTATGTATGTGAAGAAAGCAATAGCATTTGTTCATTTGTTTGGCAGGACGTAAATGTCGTGTCAGGCATAAATATTCGTACAGGTATTTGTTAGATTCTACATTACCAATTTATCACACACCCACGCACACCTATATATATATATATATATATATATATATATATGTGTGTGTGTGTGTGTGTGTGTGTGTGTGTGTGTGTGTGATGTAATACACAGCCAAGCTCAAATTTAAATCAAGATCGTTGCAGTCAATTGCAATGTCAATACTCTTGGGAAAAGTACGAATAGTGGGACTGACTGGTCTCTTCACCCTACAAAGAACTGGTTGCTAAAACCAGTTCTCTGTACTCAGTTCTACTAAAAAATAAGAATAGTTCTGAACTAGCTATAATGAAAAGTGTGCTGGGAAATCATCATTAAAAGGAGGTGAAGTATTTGACCTTTATACGCAGAAGACACTGAGAGAGTCAATATATATATATATATATATATATATATATATATATATATATATATATATATATATATATATATATATATATATATATAGAAATTACCGACGTTGCACAGGGTTCGAACTAATTTCTCTCCGTCCTCTGTACTATGATAATATCTACGGAACTAGATAACCTTGAAATTTCAGCGCAAGAGAACAAGGAATGTAAAAGATAATAAAAAAGAATCAAGTTATAGATGAAGAGATTTCGGAAGTGGCTACTGGTGAATAAGAAAGATTGATATTGGATTGAGTACTAAAAATAGAAGACAGCTTAAAAGATGATGAATTTGAATAGGACGAATTTACCAATGAGTTATGTGAATTAGTTGAAAGAAATGGGTGATAGGAAATAATACGTGAGAATAGGTAAAAATGAGAAAAAGAAATTTAGAATAAGAATAAAGAATTATAAAATGAAAGAAGACATGAATAAATAAATGAACGAGGGAAAGTGAAAGAGAATCTGGGTTTGAAAGGTGGACAAAAGAAAATGAAAAGATTTGTAGAATATAGAAAATATGAAAGAAAGGAAAAAACATGAATGCCAAATGCAAAAAAAGAAGAACAAGAAATAAAGATTGAATGATGGCAAACGAAAGTCTAAAAACCAAATTAGAAAACTAGTGTAGGAAGAAAAAAATAATGTAAGAAAAAGATACAAGAAAATTCTGAATACAACTATTGTAATGATTGTAAGACAAAAATGGAGTCGCAAAAGAAGAAATGAGAAGAAAATGATAAAAAATAAAAGAATGGATTAATGAATGAATGGATGTTTTAAAAAAAGAACAGAAAAAATAAAAAAAACTGAAAAACCTAGAAATGGAAGTTGATGTCAAAAGACGACGTTGACAGACAATGCGTGAACAAAGAATGGAGGAGAAAGAGGACTTATCAACATGAGAGTGTAAGTAAAGATTAATTATACCAAGATTCTGCAAGAAAAATGATAAGATGAATAGGGAACAAGGAAATCGGAAAATGATAATCCAAAAATTGGTCGATAGTTCCGATATTTAAGGCGAAAAATTGAAGGAATTTCAGAGGAGAAAACATATTCATGGTTGCGAAAGGACAATTGTTAATCAAGGAGACCCAGAATAATGCCGAAGTAACCTAAACGATTGAGAGTCAAATTAATCATATAAATCCACTTTTTTACAGTAAGGTTCACACTGTATAAGGCCCAGAGGCCACTTGAGGTAGCGGGTTACGTTAAGGGGTAGTTTATATGAATAGGAAAGAAAGATAACGGTTAACGCTAGACTTGAACAAGTTAAGATTGTAGTGATCGGAGAAACATTCTCACAGGGCAATGGATTGCTGGAAGAATTGTTTGAGTGGAACTTACTTCTTGCCGATGGAATACGGACGGAATGTGGGTGGTTTGCTACGATGTAAAAGGCATGACGGGTCCTAGCCATGAAGGTTAGACCCGACGGAACCAAAGAATGCAGTTGGCCATAAGACCCACAGTTATCCTGGAAAAAACACTATCATATTTTGACTTTCGCTCTTAAATCGGATCATAAAAGTAAAATTGAAATAAAACAAAGAATAGAATAAATATCTGGACCTTGCAAAGACGATTGAAGAAATTATATAACATTAAGTTGTACCAATCGTTATTTAAACACTGAACAATTCCTAAAAGCCGAACGTGAAGATTGCAGGAACTATAAATTCGAGGAAGACAGACAACCGAATATATTGAAATGGATGAAGATGTATTGAGGTGATTTGCTGTCACTTAGCCTTCAGTTTGAATCACTAACTGCACTGATGTGCAAAATCAATGCAAACATAATGATGATGATGATGATGATGATGATGATGATGATGATGATGATAAGGGAGAAGCAAGAGAACAGAAAAAACTAAAAGCCGAACGAAATACAAAGAAGTGGAATAAAAACTAAAATCGAATGTAGAAAAAAAAACGACATTCGAAGAAATGAAACTGTATTTAAAGAAGGAAAGAATGAAAAAATGAAGAAATATAAATGAGAGAAAATGAAAAAAGTTTGAAATAAATGAAGAAAGTGAAATGATAAAAACTAGATAGAAATGAAATAAAATCTAATTTTTCATCATTGTGAAATGATCGCTAGACAGAATTGTCCACATTCAGACACGTGTCTCTAGGCTTTCTTTTATTCGTAGTCTCCATGGCGGCTCTAATAAAGGTCTCATCGTACCAAGCATCTCCCACATCTCTTAATAAAGCCAATTCGAGGGAAATACTATCGTACAAAGGTGTGCTTATTGATTTTTCCCTTGACCTTTAATACACCCACTAATTCTAAACGATAAAAAAAGCAGTTGAATTGATTGAAAATATTGAACCGAAAATATTGAACCTGGTGCGGAGCAACGCGCATCTGATTTTATAAAACTCCTTCCTGTTGGGATATTTGTGTATCATAACAATGAATGAGAAGGAGGAAGAACAAATGAAAAAAAAATGTGGGAGTATTTGGAAAAGTAAGAACGCAAAAAGGAAATTGAGAATAGAAAGTTTACAGAGGAAACTGAAGACCGCGTAAATATAGCAGAAAGAAAGAAAGAAAGAAAGAAAGAAAGAAAGAAAGAAAGAAAGAAGAAGGAGGAAGGTGGGGAGGAAGGTCAATAAGGAGAAAAATAAAACTAAATAAAATGGAAAATTTGAACCACCTGTCCCTAATGTAGTCTTGTGCTATAATTGTTAGGCCGCTACTAAATATAACATTCTATCCTCATTGGGTGACGAATACAACTTTCCACATTCAATAAATCAACAAGCGGAAGCATGTCGTACAATCAACCAAATTATCCTAAAAATCATTTGCCATGCACTTCCATAGCAAAGGCAATTCCCTGTATCTTGGCATAGGATAATTGTTACCTAGTTGATTTATTAACTAAATAATTATTATTATTACTTAGTAGTAAATCTTATCTTTACATGGTTCTCCAGGTTTGTGACCTTGTACCAAAATTAAAATAAACTTAGTAAATGATTAATGTAATATTTTTATTTAATTAATATATTTTAATTCTGAACAAGATTCTGATAAAGAAATGCACACTTCCTGTAGAATTCTGATTCAGATCATGAAAATATAAGGCAAACGTTTAATTCCAAATTGATGCTAAATATTAAAACCAAGCTGCCATAAACTTGCATTAAAATGGTTGCCTACGTATTATATCAGCTTCTACCAAAGGTAATATTAGATGATTTTTGACAATAAAAAGAAGCATAGTTATCAATTATAATATAAACAAATCATGTGCGTGTATGGGCGTGTATTAGAACGGGCAATTCATTAAAATTAAAGAGCAGGCCGGATGTCTTGGTTTTCCAAACGAGAGGATCACGGAACATGTAGACAGTTTCCTCGGAAGACTACCTCGAAGGACAAGTACCCAACCAGGGGTCAATGGATACACAAAGTTGAATTAAGTATGGTATTTTTGAGCGATGGTTATTGATATAACAAATTATGGATTATATAAGTTTATACAGTCAGTGAAAAATAACATTTCAATTTTAATTTTGGAATGTAACAGAACTACATTTTAAGAAAAATAATATAAAATATGTGTCATTTTTCATGCAAATATTTTTGATTGATGTTCACATTGATATTTACTTGTCCAAAATTAGTAATTCTTTGGAATCAAAACAAAAACATTAAAACAAAAAAAGCAAACAAAATTAGCAGAGCAATTCAGGACAAGAAAACTGTCTTAAAATAAAAAGCAAAATTTACGCATAAGTTTTTAAAATAATCATCGATTCTTAAAATGTGGAAGAAAAACGTCCCTTCAGTATCAAAATGCGGTACAGTCACGCAAATGCCATTGGCCACCTTAGCATGTATAAATGTGTTTGTGTGATCATGTTTCTATTTGTGTATGCAGATCTATATGTGTGTATATATTTGTGTGTGTGATGTGACGGGGGAAGTAATCCTGATGAAGACGAAGTGAATCTTACTATAGAGAAAACTTCAGGAAAATTCAAATACGAAAAATTGAAATTCTGCCATTTAAAGAATTTTTTGAAGGATAATGTCTGCTGCTGATAACTGAGCACTTCATGTTATAGTTGTTCGCATATATATGTGTGTGTGTGTGTGTGTATATATATATATATATATATATATATATAATCGACTCTCCCGTCGCGTTCGACGTATGAGGGTCAAGCTGATAAGTCCCCAGGAACCGACATCCCGACACCGGCACATGAGATTTGATTATAGTGGTGAAGGCCTCGTGCAGGACCAGCCACACTTTTTGAGGGACGAATACAGAAACCTGGTGCACCGAATGCATGCCACAAGGTTCCCAAACGACCCTCCGCAGGTTTTGAATTCAGAGTTGTCCTTCTCCTAGACCAGTTGCCATCCAAGGCTATAGAACCCAGTCTGTCCTGCTATTTTACCCATAGCTGGAGGGAGATGAAGAGGATACATACCTTTCCCAAGGGTATTAGCACGTAAGTGAATGTAATGGATTCGACTGGAATTCGAACTCGGCTCTGCGATTCCTCAATCCAAGCCGCTATCCACTGCTCCTATTTTATAGAAATACTTGCATATATATATATAGAGAGAGAGATATCTTAATGCCGAACCAAAAAGTGAACAGGACTTGTGTAGAAACATGGAATCTGTGAATCAAAGACTAGAAATAATTATATTCTTTCCAATTAATAGCAGTGATCTTAATTTAACAGTTGACCTTCACGTAAATAATTATATGGGATGAGTGACAAAAATATTGCAATTTATCAATTACAATTTTATCTTATCTGATGGCTGCCTTAACAAGCCTCATTTTTATTCATCGATTTCGTATAGTTTCATTAAATTTTCATTTGCGATGATAAATTTTCAAAAGGGAATGGCGAATTGTAACACTCTGACTCATTATTCCAAAACGTTGATCTATCGGACGACTGTTTTTACACTTTATTACTTGATATAGCTACTTGACATTTATCTGTAACATAGTTTTACTGCTGAGATATTCCAGATTCACTGACCGTTAAAAATATGTGCATGGTGAATTTAGTTGAATCAGTCAAACTAAAAATAGCTCAGAAAGAAGCTTGCGTTTTTGGAATATCATATATAGCTAGTTTTATCAAGATCAGATTGAATATCGCTAGTTGGGCCCGTAGCAGCTTTTTGTTTACTGATAGTTCAATAATATAAGGTCTACGTACCATTTAAGATAGAAGGTTACCGAATGAGATTTTATTATAAGGATGAGT